TTGACCAGGATGGTCTTGATCTCTTGACCTCGTGATCCACCCACCTCGGCCTCCCAAAGTGCTGGGATTACAGGCTTGAGCCACCGCGCCCGGCCAGCACTTTTTATAAGAACAATTTGATTTTGACATTGTCATTACTGTAGTTCATTAATCACTATATTTTCATTGATGGAAATTGTCAGTGAAGTTTTAAATATAATGAAAAGATTTTCATTATTGTTTGCTTCTTGATTGCTTCCTTTTTTTTCCTAGTGTTTTTTAATATGTCATTCTGTTTACTGTTTTAGAAATCAAAGAGTATCTTAAAATGTATCCAGTTTTATGCTGATGAGAGCTACAACTTAATGGTAAGTTCAGAAAATGATCACACTACAGGAAATGTTACGATACATTACTCTTTTGTTATCATAAACAGCACTTTAGCATTCCTGGTGGTTGTGTTAGTCACTTGTATGAGCAAGTAAAATAGTTCTTGCCGTTTCCAGGCTTCAGCACCAGAAATGTCCGCTAACTGAATTCTCTACATCAAAGAAACACACGTATGAGTGGGGATTAGTAGTAGAAGATACTAGGTTGGTGCAAAAGTAATTGCGATTTTTAATTATTCAAAATAATGGGAAGAACTACAATTACTTTTGCACCAGTCCAATAGTTGGTGTGGTCTGTAACTGATAGCTTTAAGGGGTTGCACTTTATTTGACCCAAAAGGACTTGTGAGGATGGTGGATTTGAGAATAAAGAGAAAAGTTAATGAGAATGTATAGTTTAACCAAAATCTAGTATTACCCCTGAAAAAGCTATTTAGGATGTTAGCATTGTGTTGCATCAGTGAAAAAAGACTTTTAAAAAATAGGAAAATTTAAATTTTAAGAATTTGAATTAAAAAAATAAAAAAAGGTAGCATTGTGGTGCAGAGTCATTAATATCTTTGCGATGGACAGTACGTTTTTTTTTTTTGTTTTGTTTGTTTTTGTTTCTTTTGAGATGGAGTCTCGCTCTGTTGCCCAGGCTGGAGCGCAGTCGCATGGTCTCTGCTCACTGCAACCTCCCCTTCCTAGGTTCAAGCAATTCCTCTGCCTCAGCCTCCCTAGTAGCTGGGATTACAGGTGCCCGCTTCTACACCCAATTAATTTTTGTGTTTTAGTAGAGACAGAGTTTTACCATGTTAGCCAGGCTGGTCTCAAACTCCTGACCTCAAGCAGTCCACCCACTTTGACCTCCCGAAGTATGAGCCACAGTGCCTGGCCTATTCTTCTTGACCAGGACCAATGTTGCTATCTAATACAGATTGTTACGCCATTGGAAGAATTGCACTTACCCTTCCTGCACCTTCTGTTGGCTCATCTGCTTTCCTTCTAAGGACATCTAAGGACACACAATCCTTCTTTCCTTACACTGTCATCTGTGTCTTGTAAAAGGTGGTTGCTTCCAATTGGCCTATTGTACAACTTGTTTTTGATATTCAAATATAAGACAAAGTTTGTCAAGCATTAGCCCTTTAAGAAATAAATATACATCAAGCTCATGATTGTATATAAACTTCAGAGTATTCTCAGTGGACTTTCTGTCCAATGGATTTGGAGTGTAACTTCTGAAGATAATAATGGTTAAATGGGCTTTTTATTATTAGGTAAGCACAATATTTTTTCTGGTTTACTTGGGTCTGCTCTGGTTTTCAGAAGTGTCATCACTTACTTCTGATTTTTTTTGTTTTTGACAGTTTGAAGTACCCTTGGACATATCATTAAGCAACTCAGGATTTAAGTAAGTTATTCATAGGGTGTTACTAATTTTTATAGATACTTGTGGGCAAAATGATTATATTTATTCCTACTTTATGCAGATAAGAGTTTGATATTCTGCGTACATCTTTTTTTGTATTCCCATTCTCCATAGCAAATATAAACAACTTTATCAAACATGAACCCAGAATTTTATATATAAAGTCAATTGTATTGATTTTCTTAGCCATTTATTTCTGTAGTGCATCTCCATTTATTTTGATGTATGGATATACTCTTCTCCCTATGATTAAATAGAAGGATTCATTGGGTCAGAGAGAGCTATATTGAGAAGCAAACATCAAAACACTTTTTGTTGCCATCAAAGAGGATGTCAGAGCTCAATCTACTTGTAGCTCAGCTGAGTTGGCTTTTTTCTGTTCTCCTTTTTGCACAAAAGACAAGGTTTTTTCCTTTTCCACTCTATTTTACATGTAGCAAAAACATGAGATGCTTCTGAAAAAATAAGCATAAGGCCATCAATATGTAGAAGAAATGAAAATCTTCCTAAATTAGAGTAATGATAATCCTGAACTGTTAAGTATTTCACTAGCTTTACTTTATCATATATGAACATTTAGTTGTGCTTATTTTGAAACTAGTATATGCATTACTCTATATTAGAAAATTTATAAAAATGTAAGATGAAAGTAATATTTTTTTTCTTACTACCAGGCTGATGCCATATATATATACCATGTATTTTGAAAAAACTACAGAATTTATTAACCAAAAAAAATTATCTACTTAAATTTCTGGGGAATGTGTTTCTGCTTCTCTAGGCGTATTATTTAGTGGTTACTCACATCCTTTATGAAGGGATGTATTTTTAAATGAACTTCTCATTCTTTATATTCTTAGACTTGTCAACTTTGGATGTGATTATCATCAAGACCGAGAGAAATTATCCAAACACCTAAGTCTGTGTGTTTTTACCAACCATACAGGTAAACTATGGTTGTATTTATCAGTTTATTCAATTGTCCTTGAGTTCTAGACAAAATTTACTTATCATTTAGCTGTATGGAGTCTGAAAATATAATAGAGCTACATTTTTATATTGGTGATCATATGGATTGTCAAATAACAAATCATCTTCTTTATTAATTTTAAATATACACTGTCTGTGTCAAGATAGCCATAGTTATT